ACATCAAGGCCTTTCATGTCTGAGGCAGGAAATCTGACTCTATGGATGAATTTCACTTTGTTAACTGAATTAAATATTAAAATAAGCTTCTTCTTTTTTTTTTTTTTTTTTTTTTTATAAAAATCTTCATTATTGGAATGCAACAGGTTGCACACATCAGATATATAAGAACCTGTGATTAATGATCATTTGCATTAAATCCATCTCCTTCTTTTGGTTCTGTTTTTTCTAAATATCTAATCCTTTTACGCAGGGGGCCAAAAGAAATGCATATTGTCATAATTTTTATTCGTACTAGATATGAAATAGTACCAACTATTCATTGTGTTTCTTAAACTTAGGCCACATTTTTGATTGCAGCTATCCATAGTAGTTCACAAACTTACTTCAAATTCTTCTTCCTTGGTGTTCAGTCACCACTCTGGTTTTGTAATTAATCAATTAGGGCCGGATTTATCAAGATCCAATTTTGCGTGCAGTAATTTGCACTTGCAAACTGAAATTTTGCGCGAGGGGCTGAACCATGGTTTGCGGGTGATTTAACAAGAGCGATTGCGTAACTGGTGGCAGGTGCAAAACTGTTGGAGACGCCCTATTTAAATGATGGTTTTGCGCGTTTTGTGGTTTGCGGCATGGCGAGTTTGGACAGCAGAAGGCGCAAAAGGAAATTCGACCCCATGGAAATGGAGGTGTTGGTGGATGAAGCTAACAAACATTTAAGTGAGCTACAGCAAAGAAGTGTGCCTGTCACACAGAGGAACGCTATATGTGAACAAATCTGTAATAAAGTAAATGCTGTCGGTGAAACCTTGCGAACAGTGGATGAAGTAAAAAGAAGATACCAGGATATTAGAAGGCGAACCAAAGAAAAACTGGCATATAACAAAACATCTGCGAACAAAACAGGAGGGGGCACAGTAGATGAGATGCCTCTGACCAGCATTGAGGAACAAGTACAGCTGACGCTCTGTGAGGAGCAAATCACTGGAATTGCAGCTCCAAAATGGCAATGCTGGATAAACGATATGTTTTGATGATCGTTTCCTCCTTCATTCCAAAAATATTCACACGGAGTGAAAAAATGCGTTCTCTGCGTCTCCTTGCTTCATTTCCATGTCTCCTTCTTGCGACAATAACCGCTGCCATGTGTGCGCAATTACGCATACAGACCATTTGCACCTTCTTTTGAAACGTGTTAAATATAGAGTCAGATACCGTTAGCAAAATTGCTTTCAGGTTTAATAAATCACTTTGCGAGTGCTAAATTAATATATTTACATGTTCTCCTCCCACAAGACGCACTTTTGCGTGTAAACGCCCCATATTGCATATTCATAGCAGAAAAAGTACTAAATGGATAAGAGGCGCTATTTAGCACGTTTTAAAGACCAAATCCTTTTAGCACGCTGTTGATAGATCAGTTTGTACATTTTTTAGCGTGCGCAATGAAATAACTCACGTTTTTATACACGCAAACCTTTGATAGATCCGGCCCTTAGAGTACAGATCAGGTTCAGTGAGTCCAGCCTAGGCCAACACAATCCAAGCCCAATCAAAACACATAAATTGTGCTTTAATTTTAAATCAGCAAGCAGGGTATTTTAACCAGGAATCAGAATTTTACATTTTTAAGGATTCCAAGAGAATGAGAATTTAGCCTCAGCTCCAATCGATTCTCCAGATTCTGGCTGGCCAATCCCATGCCTCGATTTGACCCCACATGGTAGATTGTTACTAGCTCTCATTGAATTCCATATCCTCAATTACAATACATGCTATTATTACTTTTTTAAGTCACAATGCTTATTCCAAAATCCAAAATCCTGTCTGCATTTTGGTGAAATCCACAAGACTTGACATCAGTATATCCATAAGAGCTGGGCATCATTTTGCTTTCAGAAGTCAAAATTCCATATTTAAAACAATCAAGTGTTTAAATATTTGGACAATAAAGATCGACAAACACAGTTTTTTTAAGGTTAATACTGATACAGATTATTTTTACATCAGTCTTGGACATTGTTGTTTCTTCCTCCATTTACATGGTGGAAAGAAAAAAAAAATTACAATGAAAAACTAAAATAATATCAATGGATAGCAAATGGAGGGAGCGGCATGACATGCGCCTCACAAGACCTCAAGACATGGCTGCTAAATGCACTAATGAATAGACAAACACATGCATCTATTGGTTTTGGCAACAAATACATGAAAAAAATCTGAAAAGGCCCCAAATATCAGCTGCCGTGTGTCTCAATCTATACCAAAAAAAAGAAAGCAGAATATGCTTTCAGAGTTTTTATTTTTCCTTTTCTAATTTAATTTCCGTTCTAGTTTCACCTTGCTCGTATTATTATTCAACCATTATAACCAATGTTCCAATGAAGGCTCAGATGGAGACATCAAATAAACATCAATTCTTTGCTAACGAGCTTTTCTCTCTCTGCTGGATGTAAACGATTAAAAAAAGAACAAAGCAGAGCTCCCTTGATCAAAGAAGATGCTTACACAAATAATCACTCAGAGGGCAAAAGAAAATTATAATGAATATAATTTTCAAGTTTTTTCAGTGTCATCCCATAGGCAGAACTCTGAAGGCATCGTTACATAAGAAGTAAAGCGAAAAGTGGGAAAATTAGTCACATTCAACGGTAAACATGCCTAGATTTACACATGAATGAATATTCAGCTTCACCTATGCACACACAGATTCACATGAACATTTTCTCATCAGCCTACTCTGCTCCTTCTGACAACAGCCTCTTTGTCAGAGTTTTAGCTGTCATTACAAATCAGCATTGTGAGAGGATTAAATCCTTGAGCCTGGTTCCCCAGCATTGCAAAATGCTGTGTTGAAATCATTGCACCAGTGTGACATTGATTCTGATCTGTCCAAAAACTAAATAATCTAATACAGTTTGGGGGCATACTAAAAATAAACAAACAAAAACTCCTAAATTTCAAATTGCAAGAATAAATAAACATCTCAGTTGTTAACAAAGAGGCATTTTTGTTTACAAAAAAAAAAAAAGCTTTGGCTCATTAAATTTACCCTACGTGGCACAGAAAACAAAAATTACAACTTGCAAAAGCATTGACCTTAGGAATTTGTTAAAAGGTTCATAACGCTAATATGCAAAAAAAAAGGGGAAATCCTTTTTGCTCTTTATCAAACTAAATACAACTTCAATCAGAATGTTTTTGTCATTTTTTCGTTCTTAGAGATTGTACATTATAGGTCATAGCTACAATCTTGCTCATTAAAACAACAATTTCTTTAAAAGCAATACATCTATGTCTAGAAAGAATCTGGGCCAAGAGAATGTCTAGAGTGGGACGGAATAAAAGTATTTAAACAACAGTTTTATAAATTTATTCCCAGAATATAAAAAAATTTACTTTTGGTTACGATGCCAATATTGACACAAGATGATTCAGTCACTAAAAATAGCATTTTGAAAGGTCATGTGAGACTGAGCAGGCTTCACTGTTACCAACTTAGTAACTTTGTTGCTATATAAAGAGTCTTAGAAGAAAATATTCAGGCTAGTATTGTAGTGCAAATCATTCATCATCATAAAGGATGTAAAAAATATATGAAAATATAAGAAAACACCATGCAGCCAAAGTATAAGTGTGGAGTCCAACCCCACCTTTCTGCTGCCATTATGTAAATTCCTGCACACATAGGGGTCCCTGTGCATACGTACATAAAAACAAGAATTATCTTATTTGTTTCTTCTCTGGAAGAGATCAAATGTCAAACTTTACATTCTCTTTTTTCCCCTTTCAATTACACGTGTGGTTTAAAAAAGAATATCTTTCCTTTTGACAGCATCAGAGGACATACGGTAATGTTCCAGGAAAATAATGTTCTCTCGTCACGTTCCAACAGAATTAGAACAATCTGAACATCAGATGAACCTGGCTGCCACAGATCTTAACAAGTTAAAAAATGCCACACCACATATCTATATCATTGCTATAGAATCAATGCAGCTGTGACTCACACATAAAAGTCAAATATCAAGTTTGAGTTTGACCAAATTTTACTTAAAACGAAACTCAAAATACAAACATTTCTATTTTTTATTGTTTTTAAATTAAAACCTATTAGGCTGGTAGACATTTCTTTTGCCAACAACAAGAGTTCATTCATCCATCCATCCATTTTCCATCACGCTTATCCCAAGCAGGGTCGCAAGGGGTGCCTATCTCCAGCTGTCTACAGGCAAGAGGTGAGGTACACCCTGGACAGATTGCCAGTCCATTGCAGGGAAACACAGAGACAAACAGGGCAAACAACGATTCACGCACACACTCACACTTAAGGAGAATTTAGAGAAGCCAATTAACCTAACAGTCATGTTTTTGAACTGTGGGAGAAAGCCAGAGTACCCAGAGAGAACCCACACATTCAAAGGAAAATGTGCAAACTCAATGCAGGAATTTAACCCGAAACCTTCTTGCTGCAAGGCAGCTTTGAGGAACCCAAACCAAAGTTTAATAACCTTCAATTAATGTCCATTATCCATGTAAAGACAGATTAATTCCTGTTTCTACACATCACCCTTGGGTGCTGCAGCAGTTTTGTTTCCCCTATCCTTTATCCCCAACTCAATAACCACAATGTCTTTAGAGCACTCTGGAGGGCTTCTGGTGTAATACTGGGTGACACCTCAGCTGTCCATACTAATAGAAATTTGCTAACAAATTTGATAACATTGTGGAGCCTGAAGGTGATGTGTCTGATACTTTATGAAACTGTCACAGTTTGGCTTAACCAAACGGTGATGAGGAGCTTTCAGCTTACAAACTACTCAGCTCAGCACAATTCACCAGAAAATACCAGATATAAACCTTTTAAGTTTGCGACAAAAAAAAAATGGTATTATCCAAAGAGAAGCTTTGTATTTTGTTTTTACCAACACAGCAAAGTGCCATCTTAAAAAAAAAATTTAGGAGAAATGTCAGGCACGACCAAGATACAGCATTCCTACCTGCTCTGCGAGCCTCAAAGCATGCATGACCCATCTCATCCTTCAGCTCCTGGTTTTCTGAGGCAATGGCCTCCCCAACAGCGACAAAACGACCCACTGCCACACTAACTGCCTGACCCACACGGTGGATAGAGGCCAAGGTCCGCTCAGACTTCTTTGGCCTGTCTTTGTGGTTAATCAGCGTGGTGATCTGCAGAGAGATAAAAATATCAGGACATTTTCATTAAATCAACATTTATTCAGAACAAAATAAGTTATAACGATGTCACTCTTTTCATCTGAAAGGAAGGAATAAATAAATTACAATGGGGGGCATAAGCAGGGAAGCAGAACTTTTCAAAGTTTGGAATTGCAATCATTTAAATAATTCTATTTTCCTCTCCATACAGTACCACATCTGGACATAACTGCATAAGGTGACTACCCTTCTAGTTGATATAACTATGTATAAAATTTGTTTCTCTTCCAATGAAAAGATGATTAAAAAAAAAAGCTTTTCCATTATCACAAACTGATGGTTTGTTTTTTCTTATGTTCAGGGAGATATTACCTTAGTAATTATGAAGATATTTTTAAAAGTATTCTTTGCAGATGTTCTCAGTTTTCTTGTAAAACAGAAATAAGAACCAAAATGTCAAAACATTTAGGAAAACAGTGCAGTGGTTTACACATGACATAACAGTACTGTAAAAGAGAAAAGGCTGAAAAGGCAGACAGGTTTGTTGGGTCTCCTATAAAGAACAGTCCCTGACATGGATACCAGAAACAGACCCACATATGTTCTTATAGTGATAGGTGTCAGTTATAAATAGATCAAGACTGTCATTAAATATGTATTGGCTGCTTGTGAGTCTGTGAATGTGTGTGTGATAAATCATTTAGTCCAGGATGAGGTGGGGGGTATTTTAATTTCCGCATGACAGTAGGTGGTCCAAGAGGGGAATCTGTGACAGCAAATTATCCCTATTGACAAATCTATCTAAAAAAAAAATGCTTCTTGTAAAACCCCGATCTGTCTGTTTTAGCTTTCTGTTTTATGTCTTATATTCCTGGAAAAAAAAATCAAAGGTAAAATCAGTGTGAGTTTTTATCATTCATGTTGTTCAAACTGAGAGATTTTAAAGAAGCACCAGAGGTGTCTTAGATCAATGTTTCCCAATCTTTTTTGACTTGTGTAAATGCATTTGTCTTATCATGAGTACCCCCCTCAGTCCAGAGTATTGCTAAGTGCCCAAAACTGGAAGGTACAATAACTAATAATAAAATGAAAAGTTTTTTTAACTATCTTACTTTACTTATTTTACTCATCTAATAAACTTCACCTTGAAACTCTTTGGCATGTTACTCTTTCCAATTAAATAAAAAAAAACAATAACAAAGATTTTGCCCAGAAGCCAGTAAGGATTCAAAATAAATACAAACAGGAACACCTCAGTAAGTCCCCTTTAATAACATTTTAACTTTAGGAATTGGGGACAAAATACTGAACAAAAATTATGATCAGATTGAATACATTTGTTTTACTTTGTTTTCATCCTTCATGACACCTGAGCTTGTTTTGATGAGATGTGGGGAAACAGCTGATACCAGGCTGTTCTCTACATCCAGTCTGTTCCTCAGCCTGGTTTTAATTTTTTTACTGTAAGAGCAAATACCTTAAAGAAGCTTAACAAGCTGTTAATATTGGCTGTAAACTTCTCTTGAACCTCAGGAGACGATTTCACAGAGAAAATGTTTTCATAAAATTAAGAACATTCTGAACAACCATGAACACCCTTAAAGACATTTAAAGAACAACAGTGTCTTGAGTCAGAGACTTTGCCCGGTTCCACTGAGAGACATATCACTACACTGGATACTTCTTACCTATAGCTTTTAACAACTTAAGAAAAATCTTCAATTTATAACAATATTTACTTTTTCTTTGGGATTAATAAAGTATTTCTTAATTGAACTGAAATAAACAAAAATTATTTCCTATACAAATGACTAAACACTGCCACCCTCAGCATATAAACTAATAGTTATAAAACACTAGCTAAGTTTTCATCCAAAGGTTATCTAAATTTTAAGCATCCATCTTTCATCATGCCTATCTCCAGCCGAGAGGTATAACCTGTACAGGTCGCCAGTCCATCGCAGGCCAACACAGAGAAACAACCATTCACACACACACTCACACCTAAGGAGAATTAGAGAAGCCAATTAACCTAACAAGACTCCGCACCGGGAGTCAAACCCAGAACCTTCTTGCTGCAAAGCAGCAGTGCTAACCAATGCACCACTGAGCAGCCCAACTTTAACCAAACTTTTAAAATGTCTTAAAAAAAAAAGAAAATATGAATTAGAAATGTTTCCATCCATTGGCGCTAAGTGACAAGGTCATTCAAAGCTGGACTGAAGTTTCAATAAAAGTTTTACAATTGGCAAAGTTGAATTCAGTGTATCCAGAACAAGAGAGAAGTGGGATTCTAATGTAAATCCCAGAGCAGATCTTGAATTCCTCCCTAAGGGTTGGCATACACTACAATTTTGTGACGATTTTTTAGTCATGAGAAAATTTTGGGGGATTGGGCTTCAGCCTCATTGCGCATCCTGCATCATGTAGTATATAGAGGATAATAAGGGGTGATTACGATCACAGTTACCTCCCAATCTGAAATCATATGGTCGAATACAAATCAAACATGTTTAAAAAATCCGTCGGCCCTCGTAAAAAGATTTAGAGAATTGCAGTACAAAAGTAAGCTGCCATTTTACTTGCAGTACCAGTGGCTAATATTAATAATTCCTGTTTTTATAGACAGACAACAAAAAAAATAACATACTATTTTTCAACCACTTTTTTTTTATCTCTAAAATATTTCTCACTATTCTGTTTTGGTTTTACTCTCCTCACAGCTGTTTTTCTGTCTCTCCTTTTTTGGCTACCTGTCATCAGATGACATCAGAATCACAAGGAAAATAGCCCCTCCCCTTGAATTTCCGTAGCAGAGCAGACTGGATTGTGTGTAAGGGAAAAAAGTGCGGCAACTGGAGGAGAGACAAAGACTCTTTAATAATCATATCACATGCAAAAAAAGACAGCAACATGCAGAAATTGCTGAATAGATTATTATATCGCTTTAGCTGTGCTCCTACTCTATGGTCCGCATAAACTGCATACTCACTTGTGCCATTGACTATACCTACTGCAGCCAGTGTCATAGGGAACAAAAAATCACATGGGAGCATGCAGAATCGGACGCAAGCTGTATGAGCCTTGTGATGGGCATATAAACACATAAAGAGAGGAGAGAAACTTTCCCAAAGAGGGAGTAGAACGCAAGCCCTCAGATGGATTTCCTCCGTTCGGGATTATACTCGATTTGGTACATTTACCGGACAGTGCAAACAAGAACAGAGCCGGGTGGAGAAAACATAATATTGATTCAGTGCCATCCCACAAGGGAGGCCTTTTTTGTGTTTGTGCATGCAGCTGTGGAACCTTGTGGAAAGGTGAAAAGTGCACATTCCTTTTAACATATGTCAGTGGAGGAAAAAAAAAAATCTTTACAAAAAGCAAAGTTTAAGTTTAGTTTGAAAACAAACTTTGACTAAGTCCCACTAAACATTTGACTGTTCAAAGAAGTAAATATTGTTTTAATATGCAGGTATTGCAGAGACTAAACAATAGAAAAACAACCATATCCTGTAAAATTTAAAACAGGCATGAGTATGTAATGTACTGAAGTTTAGACTTGCAAATATTTGTACAGCGAGAACTACGTTGCTGCTTGATAGTATGACAAATACTATAAATGTCTTTAATGCTTTAGGCTTCAAGTTTAAATAAAATGTTACAGCTAAACACTCTCCCTGGTAACCTCCTTCTGCTTTGGTATTCAGCCTTCACTACTTTACAATTCAGCTCTCATCTCTTTCTTATGCATAATAAGAAAGACAATTGTAAGACCACAAGAAAACGCCTCACTGTGCCTCTGTGTGAATAACAATATGATAACCAAGTCCACCCACTGGTTAGCAGGAAATTTAGGCCAACACCTCAAGGACACAGTGACTGACTATAAATCTGAATGCAACAAAAGGTGGAAACATTTGTGGCTGCCTCCCATGGCTACAGATTAGGTTTCACTGAATAGTCATGCTGGGAGAAAGTTTGATGTTATCAGTATGCCTCTGTCCTGACACCCATTTTTTTCAACTGTTCCGACTCTTAATTTTAAAGACATAGAATGCGTTTAAAAATATAATTTGTCAGCCCTTTTTTTCTCTGGTGACATAGTTGTGTCACTTTTGTCATTTGAGAACTTTTCTTACAACAGCTAGCATGAAAAAGTCTGCACGGTTTTGAATGAGCTGAACTAAGAGGCCCGCTGGGACTTTTATTAAACACACATTGTAGATGCTCATTACAATAATTGCTTGTTTGGCGAGTCCTGTGTTGGCCTGATTGTTTGGCCCATTTGTCTCACTGATTGCTGTTAAGCTCTACTTGGCACGCAGACAGAATCAGTTACTCACTGTGGGCTTTTTTTAAGAGTAGAAAGTCTAAATCTTAAGTAAAACTCTTAAAACTGTAAGAGTAATTACGCTTTTCTATGTGTGTGAATAAAGGAATGTCACTGCCTAAACCATATAACAATGCTTCCACACTAACCCTTTGAAATGCTTTTTAGAGTGTCAGGTTTCAGGAGTGGATCACGTCAGTGTGTACCCATTCCAAAGAATCATACCCTGGCATGGTTACAACTGCACGGTCTCGCCGTTGTTTATCCAGACCCTTGAGCGGTTTGCTTGCAGTATGAATGAGTGCCAAGTCCCAGCGTACCAAGAGTAGAAAAAGAGAATGGGCCTAAGCACAACATTTGATTAGAAGAAGAAAAGGAAGAATACAAAATAAAAGCTTAAATCCAAAGTGTCTCCTGGAGCTACGTGGAGTAGAGAACATCAAAGTAGCAACAGAAACCCCAGCATTGCCAAAAGTCTGCAATTTCAATTTGTGGTCTGATTACCTGCTTTTGGTGTTGAATAATCTTTTGTTTTTATTTGCGCTTTTCTTTTTTCTTTAATCAGCACAATGCTTCTCCCCCCAAAAAAAATCATTGCAACTGCATGATGTTGACTGGTGCCATTTAAAACTACTTAGCTCAAACAATTTAGTCAAATTCTAATATGCATTCTGAAGTA